TTCTCAATATAAATTGTAACTTCAGTGCCATGAAATATGAACTTTCAGAAAATCAAGTTTCTCTATAGATAGGCATATGAAGCACATGAAGGAATGATGGAACAATAATTACGTTCCCATCCTGTTCTTTGTATTATGTGAAGATATTTTTATCAGTTTAAATCACTAAGCATTCAGCCCTAATGTGCTCTCTTCCTCAAAATGATCGTTTCCAAAAGAGATGGAAAACTGGAAACATTCACACCACAAAGTGGTCCTTCCACTTTGCTGTCCTTTCCTGACTACTTTAATGAATAACGGTACAATAAATGCTTTTACAGATATTGTTTAACTGTTCCAAATAGTACAGATATAAAACAAGATTAAGGAATTAGAAATGATAAAAATTTATCTCTCTGCATTCCTTTTTCTCTTAGATTTCCTGTGGGCACAGGAGATTTCAAAACCAACACTGCTGTTTATACCAAATCTTACAAAATAACCTAGAGACAAAATCTCACCATACAGATTTAAAAATTAGCTTCCGTTATAACCAAGTGATAAATTCACTCTGGGCCATTACTTTGGTATAAGAGATGGAAGCACTTTTCCTCTGTTAAATTTGGTACATTGAAATCTGGAAGAGGAGTAAGAAAGAGGAATAGACAGCTCTCTACTGTGTAAGTCTGACTTTCCCAGTTCCCCAACAAGATGACAAGACTTATAAAAGTCAGGAGATGGGACATAAAAGGTTATCTGGGTGTCCCATATTATCTGGAAGTCAGAAATCACGTGGTACTTCTCAAAAGAAACAAACAAATTGCTGTAAAGGGAAATAGTTGGGTAATTCCACTACCTGGACTCACATTTTGGTCACTAGTTAAAGCTAGATGTTTTTGAGGAATTAAGCAAGAACAGGTGCATCACAGGATGGAGGACCAGACATACTGGTAAGGCCAACTTCTGCCTCATATAGTCTTTAAATTTTCCCTAAATATTTTTTCTGCTTTCTTTCTTTCTTGTTTTTCTAAGACAAACACAAAGTAGAACTGGAATAGTGACAGGAAAAATAAACAAAACAAAAACCATCACACTGTAGGACTATCAGGTCACGTTATAAGTCCAGCTACTCCAGAACTCCATAAAACATTGGCCCTTTGCCCACTTCAACACACAGTCTCTTGCAGAGTAAGAATTGCATGTTTAAGTCTTTGTGCTCTGCTTACAGTTCTTTTTCTTGTTTTCCATATCCTAGCTACATTTCACAAAAAGTTCCAAGATTTGTTCAAGCACGGCTTTCAATGAAAGAAGACTGACAATGAGATGACAGTCTTTCATAAAAACAAACTGAAAACTTTTCTTGAAACATCCTTCTGGGACCCTTCTTGTCCTTGGGTAGGATTTTTGTGTGTAAGTAGGAGATAATGCAGGCTGAAGAGATCCCTTTTTAAAAGTTTTTCTTATTTTCATTAGGCTGGTTCACATGAGTTCTCTGGGCCCCTCAGTGGAGGATTTTAATCACATTGTGTCTTTTGTGCTACAGTGATCACAATGCTAATCTCTGTAATTCCACATTTGGGAGCACACTTTTCAAAGTGTAAACAACTGACAGTGACTTCAGAAAGAACATTTTTCCAGAGGGAATCAAAGAGTAGAGTCACAGAGAAGCATCATAAGCCAAAAACTGAAAAAAAATTCCCACGACTGTACAAAGAAAAGTAAACCATCCTCAATTTCCTTCCCTTGTGCTGTAGAATGTGCATGAATAAAATACATGCAAATAAATTTTGTGAGGGAGAAAACTTTACCCCTTTGATCAGACTCAACCATCCAAATAAAGCCAGCCTGGGGAAAAAAAACCCCATAACTTTAAAGAAAAACGTAATTCCTAAGGATCTCCAAGCGTGATAAATGGCAAGAGCTCTGAGATAGTGGTGGAGTTGTGTTTTAATGCTGTTTAATAGCATTTGCTATTAACATAATTTATACAAGGATGTCATTGACTTTTAATTCCTTGAAAAGATGATCTTTCATAAAACCAGTATTAATGAAATCCTTTATACCATTATGTCAGCTTGCAGCTGACTTTATGGGATCTATTGATGCTTCAAGTGACAAAATGCTACAGCATCTGACTAAATTTAGGAAGTAAAAGAGAAAGGCAGACCTATAATCATTGCCCACACAAAGAAAAAATGGAGGCATCGTCCCAGTTCTTGCATTAGCTATCCTAAATATCTTAAGATATTTCTTCCACATCAATAAATTTACACTGCACTATTAAAAAATGGCATAACTACTCCACTCTTGATTTCAGGATGCAATACAATTGTTGCTTCAATGCTCTAACATAAAAAAATTCTATAGATCTGGAAAAATTATGAAATGCAGTCTGAAAATGTAGCAAGGAGCTGAATTTGGGACAATGCACCTACTATGCTTGCCATGCTCCCATAATTCTTCAAATACATACCACAGAGGGTCACAGAAGGACTTTAATCTACAAGGCCAGAAAATTGCAAGATAATTTTTTTTTTGTCCACACCAGAAAGGTACAGCATTACAATGAATGCAACTCTCTTGACCTTTTTTAAATTATCCTACCTACCCTTTGCACTTTTATATAAGAACTACTATATGTTCATTTGCATATTGCTCATCTCTTCCTCTAGTTTGAAACATGACATACTTTAGCATTTCATGAACTATCCCATTTATTACAGAACAGTAAAAGGACCTTAGATCAAAAGGAAAGTACTATACTTCAGTGACTGTGCAATAGTATGGACTGGGCTCCCCAGCGACTGTGTCATGGCATGTTCATTAGAAATTTATATATATGTCACAAAAAATTATGAAATGCAAGGTTTTAGGATCATGGTGGTGAAAATAGTTCCTGGTACCTCACAGAAAGCTAAGGACTGGTAAGATTTCTGATTGAGATTTTCTTTGGTGAATATAACTTATCAAGAAAATCTTCTATAAGCACCAGGAAAGCATTAGATATTTTGTGTAAAATTTTAGGGTTTAGTTATTCAAGACTTCACAAATACTCAGGCAGCTCTTAGGCCCCTTAGTCATAACAACTTTAAAGATATGATCTAATCCTCACAGAAGTGCCTTTGCATTTAACAAGTGTTGGTTCCTTGCCTGTCCCTCCAACAGGTTATGCAAGATTAGGTTCAATTTTCTTTCACTTCCACCATTTACAAAATTTCTCAGGATCCTCTGACCTCAACACCCCACAGGCTCGCGGATCACTCTGGAAGGCATGAGGAGAACGGAGGAGAGGGGATTGTGGAAAATGGTCTTCCTCCCCTCTTTTTTTTCCCTCTGCACAGCTGATTGATCAATCAACCTAATCTGCCCAGTCTACCCAGTCTTCATGACCAAATAGAAAATGGCTATAGAGTGCACATATCATTTCTATAATACTTTGTTCCCTCAGTATGTTTGCCAGAACTTCTTGAGACCAATCAGGCAGATCAGTGAGATGATGAATGCCTTTGATATAATTGAATATAAAATATAATTGGATTTTTTTTTAAAAAGTGATTGGAATAACACAAGTCTACATTTAGCACTAGAGGTTAAAGAATGTGCTACAGAAGCTTCATCCACGCAGTATTTGTATTCTGTGGGTGATTACTGTTGTCAGCAAGGGCAGTGAGGGCTGAAGGAAAGAGCAGCCAACATTTTAACAAACAAGTATCTTCTGCATGGTTTTAGTACCACATATTCCAAGATCCTGCTTTTTACTTTGAGGTGATGGCAAAAGAAACTGCTGTCCAGAGATCAGATATGGACTGATATTTCAATTGAATGGTTTACAATGACAGGAATTTTTTTCTATATTAATATTGCACAACTTTTAAGAAGATTACTAACGTGTGATTCATAAAAGGGATTTTATTGGCCTGCTCAACACTCAAAGAGGAGAAGATTTCCCATTTGGGCTTAAAGTGTTCTCAAGGTTTTGACAAATTGTGTAAAATAATCAAACTTAATTCCTTATGACTAATCAAATCAAACTACATTCACTTTAATTCTGTAGGAGTACCTCAATTCAGGGGTTTACTGCTTTTTTTCCCTTTTAACATTAATTCCCTTCATTAATTCATATGAACATTTTAGAGAATTGCTTTATAGAGAACGCCTATACATTAATTTCTCTCTCATTATTAATCATTAAACAATTTCATTACTGTCCCAAGAGTATTCAAACTTCACAATACCACACCCTTTTCAGGGTTTTTTGCTTCATTTTGGAATATCTGCAGTGCACCTTAAACTACTGAGAGAAGTATCATTGTAGTAGTAAAAGTAGTAGTAGTATTAGTAGTAGGTAGTAGTGATAATGGTGGTTGTAGTTAGAAGGAAAATTTAAATGTGGTCTAGAATTACCAGGAGAAGATGATCCTTGGGATAATACAAAAAATCACAGTAGAATTACATTACTGTAGAGCTGAGATTCTAGAGATTAAGGAAGGTGTTGTGGTTGCCACCTCTGGTCAAGCAGCAAGGGCCAGATGAGCCCAGGCACGTTCCACGCGGTAATATTGGGATCATATTCCAATATTAAGGAGCAGAAATTATTAAGTTTTATACTCCAAAACCAGGAAGTATTTGCATGGGTGTCTAGTTCCTAAACAGGTAAACTTGTATTTTTACTTCATTGCAAATGCAAGCTTCACTCTGATATACTGTTTTTCCCATATACTATTTTCCACAGTATTACCAATCACAAAATCAGTATCTGCATGATACTGATCAGTATCTGTTATCTGTTTCTGTATAATCTGTATAATCAGTATCTGTTATCTCTTTGTTTTGACTGGAGCTTCAGGAGAATTAAGATTGTTGAAGATCTCATGTTCCTTCTTTGAGGATTTCTGCGTTCTTTTCAATTTCATTTTGGCTTGCTGATTTGCTCTCTACCACCAGAACGTCCAAATTAGATAAAACAGAAATGCAGCACCTGCCTGAGAGCAGTCTGCACCATGGGAGCAGGCGCTCCTTACCTGTTTGACCGCGTACAGGAGGCGCCCGTAGCAGTACATCATGACCAGCACGGGGACAGCCAAACAGAAGATGAACAGACAGATGATGTAGGACGTGGACTCGGCCGACTCCGAGGACCAGCGTACTGAACAGCTCGTGCCTGCACCTTCTACCCCATAACTGCTCCAACCAAGCAGAGGTGGCACGGTCCAGACCAAGGAATAAATCCAAGAACCACCGACAGCCAGCAGAGCCTTGCGGAAATCATCGCTGCGCTTGTGGCACAGGGTGAGAGTGCTGTATCGCTCGTAGGACAGCACCGCCAGGGAGATCAGCGACACGACACCTGCAATGAACCCAGCAATAGAAATGTTCACTTCCATTATTTTGCATGTATCCATTCCAAGTCCCAAGAAAGCAGATGGTTTTTTCGGTTATTATGCATTTGAAGCAACAGTGAAAACTATTTCCATTATTCTCTATATGTTAATCCTCACTGCTCCTGGTGGCTCTGTCCATCCTGTCAAATTTTGTTTAACTCAGATTTATCTTACATTGGAAGACTTTTATACTTGACAGATATTCATCTTCTAGTCAGGTTTTCAGCTTTATCTGTTTTAGTATTACTCAGGAGAAATCCATTTTCTATCTGAGAGAATAAAATGGTGAAAGATTCCCTTGATAAAAACTATTCAACTTTTTAAATCCATAAGCATTTTAAAATAGTGTATTGACTTTTACAGGGAAAAAAAATGCCATATATTTAAGACTGAGAGTCCGAAAGTGAAAGAAGCTTTTGCTTCTTTTGCTCTCCCCATCAGCTAGATGAACCTTCAGTTTTGACCACTCATATATGGAAAAAACAGACAACCACATCATGACTGAGATATGGCAAGCTGCAACTTTATTTACATACATATTACACAATCAGGTTTAAAAGTGGTTTAGGTCAATATTAAGCCCTAGGTGTCATAAACCCATTATATCTTGCAGAGGAAGGCTTTAAAATTCTGGTTGTAGTATATTTCCATTCTCTTTTTCAAGTTTTAGCAGCCAAGCCCCTCTTCAAAACTCGGTGGTTTTCCATGGTAGGTTCTTAGTCACAGCTCAATGGAGAGGGGTTTGTTATTTCCTATGGTTTTCTTCTCCTTGCTGCTTCCTTGAAATTCTGTGTGAAAAAACACTGGATACCACTCCCAGGACTTATGACAGAAGGAACTTGTTTTGAAGAGCTTTAAAACCATATTTTAAAACCAGATTTTCCAATATGCTTTCCAGTCCCCTTACTTTTGCTCCTGTAAGAAGAAAAACCTGAATAGATCAATGTCAGTCCAGCTCTCCATGAGTTTTTTCTTGATCTTTGCTATTAGCAGCAGCCAACTATACAGCAGCACTGATATATAGCCTGCCAAAATTCTCTGCTTTTGAGTGGTACCTACTCCCAGAAAATGGGTTAAAGGAAAGGTGTTCTTCAGGGCAATCCATAGCTGTAATCCATTTTCCCCATTTAACTGTCAGCTTCTCCTATAGCTGTTTCCCAAGCATGGAATAAAGGTGAGTCAGAGACTTCCCTTGGGAATAGCACTACTCCATCCTTTACCTGGGAATGAAACCCACACACAAACCCACACAGAGCACAGTGGGATATTTTCCCCAGGCACAGCATTTTGCTCCACTTTTCCTTACAATTCAGTGACTCATTTCTGAGTTAACTGGATGCAGGCACAGCTATTTCTGTCATGCTGACAATTTGCAGTTACTTAATGCAGAGCTGGGTAGGCAAAGGACCCATGGGAAATGCAAGCACTGCTTGCTGCAATAGGATGCCTTATTTCTCAGGGGGAAAGAAAGCAAAAGGGTGTGTGGAGAAGGCAACTTTTGAAGAAGAAATGTCTTTCTTGTTACAAGAGTCTACTAAATTATTTTCTGTACATTACTAGGAAGTCAGTCCTAAAGAGTAGATACATTTACAGTAATAGCTCCACTAAATTCAGGTGACTTATAAACTTGCTTTAAAGCTAAGCTACTTTAGAGACAGGGAGACTTTCTCACCATCCCTCACCTAATCTGATTTCCTACATAACACCACTCTTGAAAGCCCTTGGACTCAAAAGCAAAGAATCTACTACTCTCTTCATGCTCCCAGCCCACACTTAATTGTCTTCACTTTCTTAGAATTGCTGCTTTCCATATTTTTATCTGCTTGACTAAAGAGCTCCTCTCTATCAAAAACATGTAGGCACCTAAGGCAAAAATCCAGATTTTATATTTGAAATTTAGGCCTCTGTCAGGTGTTACAGATCTATTTCTGTTCTTTAGATTAGACAATCATGGACTAACAGAAAACTGTCTCAGAACAAGAAATCTTTCCCTTCCCAGCTGGGTGCTGTACAGCAAGGATCTATTGTTCTCACTGTACCTCTGATGGCAATTGAGACTGCATTTTCCCTGCTTTGATGAGACAGCAAGTGAGCTGTACTTTTGTGGAGCATATCCTACATTCCTGCATGTGTGGGGCTGCCTGAAAACCCAGACAGGATGTTCAGATTTCCCTAGCTTGGGGCCCTGCTTCCTGGATTTCTGCTTTCACCGTGGGCTCTCAGGACCAGCCTGGCTGCCAGCTCTGCCTGCTCATCCCTGTGGCTGTGCCACTGCCCAGCAGCTTCTTCTGGTGTGTATTGTCGTGATTTATGGCATCATTTACACCACGAATGCAGGATTACTTGTTTTCAGACGCAGAAAAGTTCTGTCTTCCACCAGCATAGAATTAATGTTCAGATATTAAATTAGGATCATGGTGATGTTAGTCAAGAGTAAATCAAATATTAGCAATCAGACAAATGCACACAAGTTGCCTTTAAATTATAGAAAATAATTTTCTTCTCTATATAGAAGAAAATTCATGACATTTAATTGCACATCTTGGCAGGAGCCAATTCATCTTTGCTCAACTTGTTATTGAGTCCCACTGACATGACACAAACTACACTTTTCTCTGGAGGACAAAAATTGTAATTTATGGAATCCCAGACCACAAAAGCTCATGAAAAAATTCCATTATTTTCAAGTTCAGCACAGTTAAGACTTCAAGGTTTGAACTTTTTAATAACACTACAATTAATACCACTACACACTGATTTCTATTACTTTCAAGACAAGGGAAAATGAGGAGTACATTGAAGAGGTAATTCATAAGCAATAAAAGAATTCAGCATTCTTTATGTGGTTCAAACTTAGTAAGTCCAACTAACTTTTCAGAAAAATTAGAATTACTTTGAAAGAACTGGTGCTTTGAAAGACAAAAATATAAATTCAAATCCAAAATCCAAATAAAAAATTAACAAGTACAAGTAGCTTTTTCCAACAGAGAGATACATTTGGTTGAAATGGCTGAGTAATTAAAGCACCTATTACACGGGTGAGGAAGAAACAGGAACAACAGAGGGCTCTGTAACCCCCTCTGTTACTTTGTGTGACATTGGGTAGTGAACACAAAGTCACAAGACATGCCCCAACAATGCAGCTCCATCCGACCTTATTGATGGAGGGCATTTCACCTTAACACAGAAGCCAAGACTGATCAAAACAAAACTACATCAAGAGTAACCTTGTTGCAATGTTGGGACAGAGCAGCTCCAGTGTCCCTGATTGCTAAGAATATTCTCAGTTTTTGAATTAACAAAAAAACCCAACCAAACAGTTTTTTTTTTTTTAAATCTCACTCTTTTATTAGTTCAGTAACTGAATCCTGGAAATACACCACTATTCTTTCATCAATTATAACAGATACTCGTGTATTTGACTGAAACAACATTATTTCATAAAAAAAGGCAAAACCAGGTTTTGTGTTCAAAACTTAATTTAACAATGGCTGGAAATAAAATATGAGGATCGGGTGTACATGACCTGTCAGCTTGCAGTGAATGAGCTGCCAGCAAAAAACCTGATGATTGCCTTGTCCTTTACATGCTTTTCTTGAGCACCCAGTGTCATGCTCTCCATAATTTTTCCAGGTACTGACTTTAGACTAACAGGCTTGTAGTTTCCTCAGCCCTTCCTCATGACCTTCTTGTAATCTGTTTTGGCTAAAGTGGAATAAAGCCTCCCAGTTTTCATTATGCTTCCTAGCTTTGCATACAGAGTTTTCTTAATGCCAGGTGCACTTAACAGTTGTGACCTTTGTTAGAAATCCTGCAGCTATCTGGTATTCTACTTTATGCACTATCTGTTGCAGTTGGAGGAACTAGTGAGAATCTCAGCTTAAAAACAAAACGCAATTAAATACTTTAGGATTGTCTCTAAAGAAAATAATTGAGTGCAATCTCCACAGCACTAACAACCAAAAAACAAATTAAAAAAAATTAATGCAAGCTATAAAAAGAAGAAAATAATTGTAATTTTTATGCCAATGTTTTATTTATTGAGTAGTAACATTTATGACTGTGTAGACTGTGTATATTAATTTCAAATGAATAATTTTTTCTAGAACTGCAACAAAATTAGGTTCACAAATTGCAAATCTAAATGCAATTTGCTTCCAACAAACATTTAGAGCCTCTAGCTGATACCTAGACAAATAACTCCACAGGAGTCAATCATATTGAGAAATGTAATTTGCTCCCCCAACATTTCATGTACACATAGGAACAAAAATGAGATTCTCATTGAACAGTACTGAAAAATGTCAAAAACTCCTGTATGCAGATTGCATTACAGGAATAGATAATTATTCAAAAGTTAACCATGGAAATATGTGACTTTGATACTAGCTGGGTGTGGAGCATAAACCTTGCTACATGGCAATTAGGTGCAGTGAGCAGAGTGCATGGAATTTAATTTCAAGTCATGAACCAGGAGAGACATCTATTTATAGGGCTATCATCTGAGACATTATCTATTATTTACTTTTATTTAAGGATCTGTACATTTCTCCCTGGCAGCACAGCAGAGAGTATGCGGTAAAAGGCACAGCAAATCATTACACTTTGTTCCCATGGGTTCTAGCTAAAAGTGTTACATTTTCTTATTCATTTTTGATGGTTTATGCTGCTCACTGATGTAGCAACTGGAAAGGAGATGCAGCTCACCCATGGTCTGGAGGCTATGAAAACCTGAGAATCCCAGGAACTCAGCCTACACTGGATCAATGTTTTGACTTCTAATTTAGACATATATGCCCCCTCAAATGGCCTCTAGGTCATTAGACTACATCATGGTTTGAGTCCTGGGGCTTCCTGGAGCAGTCCTCGTTGCATGTGGAAAGGGATACCCTGCACTATGTTCAGTTATCAACATTGGCTGCCAGGACAAAGTCAGGGTGGTGGCCGTTCCCATGCCCGGCACCAC